TTTTTATGGACTTTGCACTTTTAATGTTATTAGTAGTATTTGATAATTATTTCATTAATAGTCATTAATGACTTAACATAATATATAATTTTATTAATGGTATTGTAATAAATTTATAAGTCACTATATATACAGAAAAAATTTTTTGTTTTATTTATGATAAAAAAATATATTTTTTTATTTCTTAAGAATACACAAGTGATTTCACCTACATATTGACTTATTTTATATTTATAGAAAAATTTATTTATCAATTAAATCTTTCAAAATTAAAAACAACAGATAAAATTTTATTGTTTTAATAACTTTTATTGAAAAAACTAAAATAATTTATTTTCAAAATAAAATTATTTTGATTTTTTCTCTAATTTTTTTTTTTTTAAATCAAGTGAATAAGTACTCATGTCTTATAACACAGCTGAATGCATACAGAGGTAAAATTCAAAGAAAGATAAATACAAATAATAGATTAACTTTGAAAGAACTTTCGAAAAATGGTGAATACATTACCCATACATCAGCCTCCTCATTGCTTATTTAACAAAATATAAAAACCTCCTCATTCCCTACTACCCCCTTCATTACACTCACAAGATGTCACTGCAAGGGTGCCTCCTAGTGCTCCCAAGATGGTGTAGTTTGCATTTTTGGGCAATGCAATCTCATGAAACAACTCCGAGGCGGTATCAGAAGAAAAGATGAGATAATTCACGTTATCTGGCACCAAATTATAATCCCAATAGGCCAACCAATGGAGAGCACCACCAACAACCACACCTCTGCAGGCGTCTTGAATTCCATCTACTTTATGTAAGGAATTTTATTTCTTCTCCAGTCTTACGTTGCATACTTTGATTGCATAAATATGTTTTCCAGTTGTAGCAGAGCTATAATCACCATTACTTTGCATATATAACCTTTGAATCTAAAAAAGAATTTGAACAATTTGTTAATGCCATGCTACACTGCAAGATACACGATTTTCATCACCATGTGAACAATACTACATAGAGCCCCCTTTGCCAAAGCCAAGGGTAGGAAATAAACCTTAGATTCTCCTTTGGCAATGAAATTTGAATGTGCTGAAGTGGAAAAGGAAATATTCAACCACTGAAGAGTAGAAAATTGATAATTTAGTTACCTAAATACTATTAGTTTTAACTAAAATACAAGATAAGCAATTAGTGAACATCATTTCAGTAAGAGTTATATGTGACATGCATTCGTGTAGCATCATTTCAGTAAGCAACATTTGTAACACGAGGCATGTAGTTTTTGAGTAACCTTTATCGAGGCTCCAACACTGTGAGGCTAAGTTCATTGGTTGAAATTAATTCAGGCCTGCCTGATGAAGAATATGTTTCAAGTGATTTCTTGTCAAAAAGGAAACCGGGTTCTTTGGGTTGTACAAGCGCAGTCTCACTGCTCAACATCAAAACCACAGACGACATATTCGGCCTGTCCTCAGGATGTTGTTGAACACATAACAGACTGATGTGGATGCACCTTAATACTTCAAATAGAGTGCAAGATTCTTGTTCAAATGAATCAATCAGTTCTAAAGCATTTCCTTCTTTCCATAATCTCCATGCCTAAATACAATTTGTAAACTTTCAGTCAATTTCTAGTTCAAGCCTTCAAGGACTAGGAAGGTAATCTTGATACTTACATGTCCAATAAGATTAAGGCTATGGTTGAGATGGTAAAACCCTTTACTCTTCTTCCCACTTATTATCTCCAGCAACAATATACCGAAGCTAAAAACATCAGATTTTACTGAGAAAAGCCCATTAATGGCGTATTCCGGCGCCATATAACCACTGCAGAGTGTAGAAAACAGTAAAACAAATTATAACAGCAGGCATTCTGTAGTAAATTAGGTAGTATAGAGATAGGACTTACTAGGTTCCAACCACTCTCTTTGTGTTCCCTTCAGACTGTTCTCCTCCAAATGTTCTTGCCACACCGAAGTCTGAAATTTTGGGGTTCAATTCACTATCAAGCAAAACATTGCTTGCTTTGAGATCTCTATGAATGATCCTCAATCTAGAATCTTGATGTAGATAGAGAAGTCCCCTAGCAATTCCACAAATAATGTGAAAACGCCTTGACCAATCTAATAGCTTCTTTCTTGTATCATCTGTCATGTAACACGTTCTCTGTATTAATGTACTGTTCAATAAGAGTTTTTGAAAAAGAATTGCTTTGAAAAGATGAAAACAACCTGTGATGAATTTATACTACTCCTACTAAGTTAATTAAACAGGTCTCATGAGAATTCTAACCAAAAATGAAGAAGTCCAAACTTTTATTAGGCATATATTCATAAATCAGCATTTTCTCCTCCCCCTGAATGCAGCATCCTAAAAGCTTTACAAGATTCCGATGTTGAAGTTTGGCTATAAGTGCCACTTCATTCTTGAACTCAACCGATCCTTGTCCAGAACTTCTTGAGAGCCTCTTCACAGCAATTTCTTTTCCATCTGGCAGAATACCCTGGAAAAGTGTATTTGTAAAGTTCATTTGATCTTAACAAAGACTTCTCACCCTGAATCCCTAATGGTTATTTTTACCAGAACTTTAAACATTTACCATGTATACAGGCCCAAAGCCACCTTCTCCAAGCTTGTTGTGGGAAGAGAAATCATTTGTGGCCTTGGATATTACACCTAACTCAAATAGTGGGAGTTCCATATCTTCATTTTGCCTTGCATTGCTCCTGTCATTTTTTCTTCCTGAAAGGGTGAAGAATATGATGAAAAGCAAATGGTAAGAAAAGCAACAACGGAAGTTGATATCAAAATTTAATGTCAACATTATTTGTGCAGGAAAAGAAACATACCTTCTATGTTTTGACGGCCCCTGTGAATGTAATAGTTGATTGCAAGAACACCAATAACTAAAAGAATGAAAGCTGCGACTATAAGTCCTGCCTTCAATTCAATCTTGCCTTTTGTCTCTTTATGGTCTAATTCAATAGAGAAAAGAAAAAAATATATGAAGTAAAGTCATAGCAATGAAATTGTTACACATATTCACCAAAAATAAAACTGCTAACACCCAACATAAACAATAAACAAAACACAACTTAATGAACACTGAAATGCTAGTCTGAACCAAAAGTGACCCAATACCTGAATCAGCAGCAGACATTCGAATATATAAATCCTGTCCAGCAGATTGGACCTGTTTAAGATCAATTAGATCACCAAACCAAATTGCACAGCCACTGTCTTCTTTAATATCCAAGGTTGAATAGGCCATACAAGAACAATTCACTAAGCATTTAGCTCTGCACTCATTGAGATCCATACTTTTATTCACCCAAGAATGTGCAGTATCTGGCAACTTCAACCCACCAAATTTTTTAAATCCATCTCCTTGCTGGCAGTCTAAAGGTTTATTGCGCACACAACCTTGATACCAGTCCACTGAGCTCCCTTCTTGTGATTTAAACTTGAAACCTTTCAAACATTGACAAGGTGGCAACGCTGTATTCATACAGTTCCCATATGCTCCACAAGTCCCATAGTTGTCGCAGTTATCCCATGGAAACTGATTGTACAATGTCCAAGTGCTGCCTTCTTCATTCCATATGTAGCGCTCCCCCCTCCTAGATGTTTGGTTCAAAATGAGTCTTGTGATTACGGATTTGTTTATTGGGTAATAAATGTAGTAAACCTCCTCTTCATTTGAGATGAAGTAAAACTTGTACCATGGATTCGGCTTCAAGTGGAGTGCACCACTCATTCCAATGCCATTCCAGGGGCCTGTCCGGTAGTACTTTCTTGTGCCTTCCCACATAACAAAATCGGGAAAATTATATGGCTCTATCCCATAAGTAAGGTCTCCAGGGCATGGATCATCTGGGGTCCTCCATGCTGATAGTTGTCGATTAAGACCAGTCCTTAAGTTCCATCCAAATTTCATCCCTGCCAGCAAAGTATCAGTAGGATAGTCAAAGCTTTGCCACAAAATACCCACATTTCTATCCTGTAGAACAAGATTTCCAGAATCCAGGAGCTGAACTACTGGGTTTCGAGCCTCTTCATTTGAGTTTGATGCCCAAACAACACTCTGGCTTTGACTGAGGAGAACCAGATTGCCTGTGCTGTTTATCATCAAAACACCAGACGAATCCTTTATCGGGTTGCACCTGTTTGCAACCCAAACAACAGTTTGAACTGGGATTTTCCTGAACCAAATTCCCAAATAACGGCTCTTACCAGAACTTCCAGAACTGAAGAACCCCAATTCAAAGCTTCCATCACTAGAAACCAAAGTTCTGCCATCACTAAGATTGTTGGATACGGTGATGGTGTCAATTCCATATGAGAATCTAGAGAAGAAGAGCAATGAGAGGATGATGATAATAAACATTAAAAATCGAATAACCATTGTTTTGCAATTTTCCATGAATAACAAATAGAACCTTTATTTATAATGGCAGGTTAAGACAAATATCCCAAATGCAGGAGTCTTGAGTGTGAATTATTGTGCAAGTTTTCGCTGCAATTCCCGACAACAACCCTTTCTAGAAGTCCCCTACGCGGAAAAAAATTCTGCGGTTGGACCTTAATTTCTATACGAAAACAATTTAATAACAACAACAGTCAAAAGTTCAGTAATTTAGTCCACGAAATGGGGCCAGAAAATTATTTTCACTTTTCCCCAACTTTCTCAGCAACCAAACAGTGACGGCAAGCAATTTTGATATTATACTCAATAATAAATAAATACCCAGAAACCAATTTGCTTAATGCATAGATACCTGAGGCTGAGGTTGAGGTTGAGGTTGAGGCTGAGGCTGAGGCTGAGGCTGAGCAGCAATATAAACAACAGCGCTAGTGATATTAGGGCCGTGAACTCACCAATCCCAAAAATCCGACCTTTGGAAACCCCAGCGCGCAAGAAGACGAGGAGTTGGCATGTAAAAAGAGAGGAGAGATTTCATTTTCCCTCACTTTCCTGAGAAAATCAGGGATCCGAACATAGTCCATTGTCTCTCTGTGTGGATGCATTCTGCTGATCGGATCCATGAAGCCGGGTCGTTTCTCCATTTAGCAGACGGTGGATAACGGTCCATACTTTGGTTAAACCCTCAATTTGGTCCCTCAACTATTGTCCAGATACCTGACTTAGTTACTAAATTTAAAAAATTCGTGAGTTGGTTCCTAAAATTTGAAAATTTAGGTCTTTTTGGTTCCTATGTAGCAGACGGCTGGCAATAGTCTATACTCATCCTTGATTTGTTTGGGGCTTCTTTTCTTCTCTCTGGGCGGTATATAGTTTTATGGGAATGTTCTGGGTTTCACCGTTTTAGAGAGGAAGCCTAGATTAGGATCACGTTTAAACGATGAGGTTTTGACTTAAGAAACCACACTTGATTTGAACTTGTGAAGCATCAATCCCAACAATGAGACAAGTCGAAATTTATTAGGATTCGCTCTTATTTTGCTACTAAGTATAAAAAAATATTAACAATTTATCTCATCATTTTTAATATTTGATATTTATTATGATTTTTAGATTAAAAAATAATATGTTTGATAAATATGAATAAATTTAACAATTAAAAGTAGATAAATTGAATGATCAAAATTTTGTATAAATATGAAAAATAAGACATATGTAAGTGGATCCTATCTCATTATATATATATAGAAAAAGAATTCATTTACATATAAGTTTTATATATAACATTTACACAAAATTTCAACTAATTAAATTTTTACTTTTAATAGTTAAAATTTATTATGATTTTTCAAATAAAATAAATAATTATTTTTAATAAATATGATAAAAAAATAAATCTTAACTATTAAAGATAGAAAGATGAATTGTTGGAATTTTATATAAATACAATGTATAAAACTTAACTATAAATAGATTTCTACTCATGTATGAAGTGATTTATGAATTATGTTACGTAATAAATTAAGGGTTAAATGTTAATTTTAGTCTCTTAACTTTAAAATTTTACATAATTTAATCTCTTAAGTTTTTAATGTATTTTTTTGATCCCTTAACTATGAAAAATGTACTTTTAAAAATCCTTTCATCAATTAGTCTTTTAATTTTGTTTAAACTTGCATATTTTTAGTCCCTGGACAAAAAATGTACATATATTATAAATTCATAAACTAAAAATGTACATATTGAGACAAACGTAATAGAGTAATTGAAGAAAGGATTAAAAGTGTAGAAGGATTAAAAAGTACACTTTTCATAGTTGAGAGACCAAGATTGACATTTAACCATGAATTAAGCATTAAGAATGGAACAGTATAATTATCACATAATTATGTTCAAATAATCAAACAAGATAAATTATGTGCAAATAATGGTTAAGGTACACGGCAGGCATTCGTTTAAAAAAAAAAAGGGGAACATTAGGTAACATAAATAGGAAGAGGCATGTACCGCTCATGTAACCTTTTATCGAGGCTCCATCTCTGAGAGGGTAAGTTCGTTTCTTGAAGTTGATTCAAACATAGCGAATGATGAATCTATTTGGAGGGATTTCTCGTCAAAAAGAAAACCAGGTTCTTTGGGTTGCACTAATTCAGTCTCACCAGCCAACATCAAAACTACAGACGACATACTTGGCCTGTCCTCAGACTGTTGCTGAACACATAAGAGACTAATGTGGATACATCTTAATACTTCAGATTGAGTGCAAGATTCTTTTACAAATAAATCAATCAGTTCCAAAGGATGCCCTTCTTTCCACAATCTCCATGCCTAAAACATATTATAAACTTTCTGTCATTTTCTAGTTAAAAAAAGTAAGAATGTTGGTGTTGAATGAGCCTACCGGTCCAGTGGCATAAGAAAGGCTTTAAAGCACAAAGGGTTTACCCTATGGCCGTGTTAGCCCTCCCCCTACCCCCACAAGGGACCGAACCACCCCGCCCACTCCTATAAAAAAGGAACGAAAAAAAAAAATAATAAAATAAAAGGTTTAGGTTTTGGATCTTGATACTTACCTGTCCAATAAGGTTAACACTATGGCTAAGATGATAAAACCCTCTATTCTTCTTTCCACTTATTATCTCTAACAACAATATACCGAAGCTAAAAACATCAGATTTTACTGAGAATTGCCCGTGAATTGCATATTCTGGTGCCATATAACCACTGTAAAAAAAACAAATAAGACAAATTATAGTAATGGGAGTTTTGTAGTAAATTAGGTAGTATAGAGTTAGGACTTACTAGGTTCCAACCACTCTATTTGTTTTCCCATCTGATTGTTCTCCAAATGTTCTAGCCAATCCGAAATCTGAAATTTTGGGGTTCATTTCACTGTCAAGCAAAATATTGCTAGCTTTAATATCCCTATGGATGATTCTCAATCTAGAATCTTGATGTAGATAAAGAAGCCCTCTAGCAATTCCGCAAATAATGTGAAAACGCCTTGGCCAGTCTAATAGATTCCTTCTAGTATCATCTGTACATCATTCAATATGTTCTTCGTATTAATGTAGTGATCAACAAGAGTTTTTGCAAAAGAGTATATTAAAAAATGAAAACAACTTGTGATGAATTTATGCTACTCCTAAGTAAATTAAAAAGGTCTCATAGGAATCCGAACCAAAAATGAAGTAGTCTAAACTTTTGTTAGGCATATATTCGTAAATCAACATCTTTTCCTCCTCCTGAATGCAGCATCCTAAAAGTTTTACAAGACTCCGATGTTGAAGTTTGGCTATAAGTGCTACTTCATTCTTGAACTCAACTAATCCTTGTCCAGAGACTCTTGAAAGCCTCTTCACAGCAATTTCTCTTCCATCTGATAGAGTACCCTGAAAAATTGTATTTTAAAGTTCATTTCTTTACCGAGCCGACTTGTTATCCTAGTACTTATTTTTACTAAAGTTTCGAACATGTACCTTGTATACAGGCCCAAAGCCACCTTCTCCTAGCTTTTTGTCAGAAGAGAAATCATTAGTTGCTTTGGATATTACAACAAACTCAAAAAGTGGAAGTTCCAAATCTTCATTTTGCCTTCCATTGCTCTGGCCAATTTCTCTTTCTGAAAGGGTGAAAAATTTAATCAAAACCGAAGGGAAGTTGTTACCTATATTTAATTGCTGTATGGTTCGTAAAGGCAAAGAAACATACCTTCTATGTTACGACGCTTCCTGCAAATGTAACAGGCGATTACAAAAACACTAATAACTACAAGAATGGCAGCTGCAATAATTAGTGTAGCCATCATTTTAGTCTTGCCTTTTGTCTCCTCATGGTCTAATTCCATAAAATAAAGAAATATATAAATTAGAGTCATAACAATGAAATAGTTGCACAAATTGACTGAAAATAGAACTAGTAAAACCCAACATAAATAGGAATCATAACATAACTTAATGAAACACTGAATTGTTAGGCTGAACCAAAAGTAAACCAATACCTGAATCAGCAGCAGACATTCGAATATATAAATCCTGTCCAGCAGATTGGATCTGTTTAAGATCAATTAGGTCACCAAACCAAATTACACAGCCTCTGTCTTCCTTAATATCCAAGGTTGTATAGGCCATACAAGAACAATCCTCTAAGCATTTAACCCTGCACTCATTGAGATCCATACTTTTATTCACCCAAGAATGTGCAGCATCAGGCACTTTCAACGCACCAAATTTTTTAAATCCATCTCCTTTCTGACAGTTTAATGGGTTATTGCGCACACAACCCTGAGACCAGTCCACTGAATGCCAGCTCTGTGATTTTAGCTTGAAACCTTTCAAACATTGACAAGGCGGAATTGCTACATTGAGGCAGGTCCCATATGTTCCACAAGTCCCATAGTTGTCACAGTCATCACTTGGAAAGCGACTATACACTATCCAAGTTCTACCTTCTTCATTCCATATGATGCGCTCGGCACTACTGGAAGTTTGGTTCAAAAAAAGCCTCGTGATTACTGATTTGGTTTTGGGGTAGTAGATTAAATAAACCTCTTTCTCATTTGAGATGAGATTGATTGTAAAAAAGGGATTTGGCACCATCCGTGGCAAACCGCTCGCCGCAATGCCATTCCAATTGCCTCCCCGGTAATACTTCTTTGAGCCTTTCCACATAACAAGATCAGGATAATTAAATACCTCCATCCCATAACTTAAGTCTCCAGGGCATGGATCATCTGGGGACTTCCATGCCGATAGTCGTCGATTAAGACCAGTGCTTAAGTCCCATCCAAATTTCATCCCAGGCAGCCAAGAATCAGTGGGATAGTCAAAGCTTTGCCACAAAAATGTTTCTGATTTACCAGCAATTCTATCTTGTAAAACAAGATTACCGGAATCCAGGAGCTGCACCACTGCGTTTTGAGCTTCTCTCTTTGAGTTTGATGCCCAAACAACACTCCGATTTTGACTGAGGAGTACCAGATTGCCTGTGTTGTTTATCATCAGAATACCAGACGAATCATTTATCGGGTTGCACCTGTTTGCAACCCAAACAATATTTTGAACTGAGATATTCTTGTACCAAATTCCCAAGTAACGACCCTCGCTAGAGCTTCCAGAACTAAAGAACCCCAGTTCAAAGCTTCCATCACTAGAAACTAAGGTTCTGCCATCACTAAGATTGGTGGATGAGGTGATGATATCCGTTCCATATGAGAAACCAGAGAAGAAAAGCTGTAAGAGGATGAAGATAACAAACTTTGAAAATCGAATGCCCATTGTTTTGCTAGTTTTCACAAATAACAAATAGAACCTTTGTGGTGGCAGGTTTACAAGAATAAGTATGTCAAAATGCACGGATTCTAGCGTTGACTAGTGTGCAAATCTTCCCTGTGACTTCCGACAACGGCCCTCTCTTTTCTAGCATTCCCAACTACCGTGGAAAAATATGTCAGGCCTTAATTTATATGGGATAAAAAAAAAAAAAGGGTTTTTCAGGTTGGATGGACCGCACTTTTGTTTGCGGTCCAGACACTGAAATTCCTAAAAATTTTTATTGCAACTTTTTCATATATATATATTGATATTTTGGTAATTACATTGGATTTCGATTAATTTACAATTGAGTCGTGTTAGACCTCATTAAAGGGAAGCTCTCCTAACTCCTGTTTTTCCATTCACAAGACTTGAACTTGAAATCTTATTTAAGAGAAACTGAACTCTTTCCATTCAGACCAACAGATCGTTAACGTTTCATATATATATATAGGGAATAACATTTATTCGCTTTACTTCCTAACCTCTTAAAGATTAGAAGGAATATTTTTCTAAAACTATCTTATTCTAATAAATACATATTGAAAAAAACTAAAATATTTTATTTTTAAAGTATAAATATAATGTTTTTTTATTTTCTTTCCTTCTAATTTTTTGAAGGTAAATTGGATAAATACTAATATCATATATATATATATATTTATATATTAGATTAGTGGTATCAACACATATTGTAAAAAATTAAATAAAAAATGTTAAAGCATGAATATGGTGTTTTTTTTATCAATTTTCTTTTTAATTTTTTGGA